TCAGGGTCGTCCATCAACTTTTTCGTCTGGTGTGCAAGCACACCTTGAGATAGCAGAAAATATTTTAGTTAAAACACCTGAAGATGTTCACCTTGGTTGATTCTGTCAACATGTGTTTTGTCCTGAGATGCTTGACAGGGTTGGTCAGGTGATTTCTGATTTTGTAGGTAATCAGCCGGTGAAGACTTTGCGAGGTCTTATATAGTAATATAGCACACCTTAGAAACTCAAGGTCTTAAATACGCGACTGATGCCGCGCCACCCTTCCAATCTGTCAGGGACCCTTTGACCCTGCGTATCTATACATATGTTAGATATATAATATCAATCTATCCATCCATCCATCCATCCATCTATCTATCTATCTATATATGTATATTAAAATGTAGATGTACCAGTAGGTGTGATCCCTGAGGCAAGCATACACATTCATCAGGCTTTGGCATCTCCAGCTTGCAGCTCGAGGCCTTCTTTCCAGGTCTTGTGCCAATCCTTCAAGCTTTGCCAGGCTTAGACCTTCCACTTCCCCTGGAGATGCTCAGAAGAATCAAACACGAGGTCCAATATGTTGCACCAGCACCTGAGCCTCTCACGTGGTGACTTGGTCGAACATCTTTTAACTTGTAACCTGCGCCCCAAGCTTTCCAACCCCAAGCCGTCAAAGCTTTGCAACCTTCATCGCTACATGCGACATTCACCTCCGCTCATCCTTGACATTGTTTCCCACAGTTGTGAGCTACAGTTGGTGCCACGTATGCCGGACCCCACGCCTAGGTGTTAGAGCAAGATTTGACCAATGGAAAAGACCTGGAAAGGTTGAAGAGCACTGTCGACCCTGGAAGGGTCTAGATATCTTTCAACAATATCTCTAAAAAACAAAAACACGGCCGGCTTGATTGAGAGAAACACGTTCTTTTTGCACACACACTTTCTTTATCTTACTGCTGCTTGGCTCGGATTGAACGAGCCTGCAAGCACACAGGCTCCTAGCACAGCCACAAGTGTCACAAGTGGTCACAGTCCGCTATTTGGGACCTTTTCACTTGAGACCATTTCACCTTTGTTTTTCTCTTAACTTGTGTGTACACAGCAGGGGTCAGGGAAGGATGCGCGCGCCCTGATCTACAATAAATTAGGTTGCTGGTTTTGGGGGTTGTGCTGACTGCCGAGCGCAGATCCGACTTGTTTCACTTCGAAGTGCAGATTGGTGGAGGTGGGCAAAATGCAACTTTTAGATCGAATGTCACGTCATCCGGTATGTGTCCCTTGTTCGTGTGCTCCAGCATGCCATGTGCATATGTGTGCTCATCGCATGTGTGCCCATAGTGTGTGCTCACACTAGTATGAGTGCTCCTGTAAGTTGGCCAAATGCTTCCTCATGCGACTCATGTTTATGCAGTCGGCTTCGTTACCGGCCCACGTTTTGAGCTATTTGTGCTTTTGATGTTTTTTCCTGGCATCTCGGTGGGGAACATTGTCATCGAATTCATCAAATATATGATCTTCAGTTTCACAAAAATGTTATCGATGTATGGATGTTGTATGATGTTGCCATCGGTTAGCCGTATACTTAAATTGGATCATGGGACCAATATATCTGATACGTCCAGGCTTCGGTCGAAAGAACTTTTCGGATTTGCTTCAGTCGGATGAGCAACAAAGATGTGTTTTGGAGGTGCTTTTACAAACACAATAGTCGTTGGAATTTGCGCAGCTGAGGAGCGATGACGAATCCGAAGCTGCAGTATGTCGGGCGCATGCAATGGAAGTGGGAGCACGTAGGAGAAGACCTACAGTACGTACTTTCATGTATTTTTACGGTGCAGAAGCTTGCCTTCTCGAAACAGGACCTTTCTATAAATTTTAGAGACCTTGCCCCCCCCCCCCCAAAAGCATTTCGCCAGCACGAAAATGACAAAATCAGTGAGCGGTTTCCGGGCCCGCGGCATGTTTATGCGTGCTATCATATTATGTACGTCATATGTTCATGTCTCAATTTGTGTTTCTTCATGTGTGCATTAAATCCTTTTGTGTCCTTATGCTGACATGTGGCGGGCCCATACTGTGCTCTAACATGTGTCCCCATGTGGGTTCACACTTGTGCTCCCAAATGTGCGCTCACATGTTTGCTGACTTGCAAATATCTTGCAAGGGTCCAACTGGCTCAAACACCCTTCACCAAGTTTGGTATGCACCCCCAAAACAAACTGTGCGACCATGCCGAGCCTCTCGCCGGAAAATCTAGGCAGTCGGTGATTGGCTCAAAAGGTTGTTTATACAAGTAGCTTAACGTTTTTTAAAGTTATAACTGATTACATTACACTTATATCACATAACTACATATATATATATATATTGATTATACAGTAAGCAGTTACCTGCACACCACAGGACCTTAGACAACCCTTAATCCAGATTGCAAAGCAGTGTGCATATGAGAATGCTGGTGCATCTAAACGTAAAGACTTCTCAAAGCCTAACGGTCTCTTGGATTTTCATGCTACCACACGATTTCTTCACAAGCCCACTTTCCAAACCCCTGAGTGGCCATCCGCAGTCCACCGATGTCATCGTTGGATGCACACTGACTGGAGACCGTTTGTTTGCAGCAGGTTGGTCTTCAACGGCCGAGTGCCGCTTCTCCGGACGGGTCAAGGAATCCCTGTCACACCTAGTCCAAGACTGTGAAGTGTATATATCATGCTTTGACCTCTCGGCCCGTGTTGCATGATCTAGGAGTCAACTTCGCCCTACTTGGCCTGATTGAAAATCCCTGTCGTTTGTCCCAATTTCGCTTGCAATCCGAGGTTGCACGGCTCAGTGATGCTGTTATTTTCGACCCGGATCTTGGAACCAAGGAAACTTGGACGGACGGCTCAGTTTTGTGGCAAGAGAACTTCTGGATTACGACCGCAGCATACGCAGTCATTGACAAAGAAGGAAGAGTCTTGCATTCAGGCAGAGTGCGACGCTGGTCGCTATCAAGCTACGTTGTTGAATTGTGGGCAATATGGATAGCTTTCTCTCAATCGGATTCAGCAGTTCACATTTATTGCGACAATCAAACGGTGGCAACTTCATCGAGTTCGCCAACAATGTCACCCGCAAGCGAGGGCGTGCCGGACAACATGCTTGATCCCTCCACTGTGAATGCTCAAGGATCCTCGATCTTCAGACCGAATGGCCAAGGCCTTCGCTTCAAGAATAGCACCTGCCTTTCCACATATGCCCAAAGTTGTGAGTGCCGCCGCCATTTTTGCACCACGAATGGCTTGTACGACTTCATGCGAATCTTGGCACGCACTCCTCAGAAGAGGAACTTCCTTCAGATCCATCTTGCAGGCCAGATGGATCAGAGCAGGAGCTAATGGTTACAGCTGCAAGGAAGATGTTTCCTTTGTCGGAGTGGAGTCCAAGTCGGGCTCATTTTTCTTGGGCCACGCAGGTGGCGATATACAGCACGTGACTGGCACACCATCTGTAATTTTGCACGTCACCTTCGTTGGAAGCCGAAAGCTGACACTGCCATCTCGTTTTGTGAACTGGCCGTGATCTTCCACAGAACAGGTTGGAAGCTTGAAGCTGATCACCAAATACAGCAAATTCACGATGTTACATGCCAAATCTGACAAGCTTTTTGAATTTTTGCTGAAGGACGAAAGAGTCCAACTATGTCCAGGAGACTCTTCGGCGACATTCGTCAAGTCGGCCGGTCGTGTACTCCCACAGAGTGCCATTATACATGCAACACCCTTGGTCGAAGACCATATCTTGCAGTATCTCGCACAAACATTGTGCTCAGGTTGTGGACGCACGATTGAATCGTGGAGGACACCTTTTCTCTCCTTTTACTGCAGTTGTTCACCTCCCTCTTGGTGAACCTGTGCAGTTGGGGTTACAGCATGTTAGGACCAGAGAGTCCTACGTGCCATCGTCGCGGAGTGAACCGTCCGATGCGTGGGTAATATACAGTAAGCAGTCAGTTAAGCCGCCTTTAGGCCCATTCCCTGAGGCGAGCTCACCGTCCTCCAAGCACAGTCGCTACACCCACTTTATGCACCATGTGCACAGCTCAGCAGGCACTTCAACCATGCGCACGCAGTATCACTCGGCCACTTCAACCCTACGGAAGTTGCTGCGGAACTTCCTGTGATGATGAATCTGAACTCTGAGTTGAAGGGCTGCGGGATGCGTTCTATGCCCAACCAACTGTTTCATTCCATGATGTTTGCATGGCAGGCAATGCCCAGTGTCTTGAACATCTGTCTTGAGACTCCCATGCACCACAAAGAAAATTGAACTCAACAAAGTCAGAATGATATTCTTTGTGCTGAAGCGAGTCGCGCCGATTCAAGCCCACATACTGTACCAACTGCCCAAGCCTCCAACTGATTGTTTTCCACGAGGCAGATCTGAAGCAGGCTCTGGCACATCTTATGTGCTGTCCGTGATGAATTGTGATTCTGCGAAGCCCCCCCGATGTACAAATGTATGACATAAAGGCAATGTTGCGCATAATTCGGGGGGGAGTTCCAGGTGAGCTTCCTACAAGAGTTCTGAGACTATTAGTATTTCTGCACGTCCTGCCTGTCCAAAACTGCAGATTGCATGGTGGGTCACCTTGATGTCTGACAAGCAAATAGTGTTTGCTCCTTTCCAAGGGATTTCGATGGGATCACACCTAGTTCGTAATCTGATCTCATCTGCTTGCACCAAAGGTACGCCGCACCAAGCTATGCAAGGGTCGCTTGGACCCTTGACTTAAACTGAGCTTTTTTGCAGGACTGCACATTGTCTTCCGATTGCTGCTTCACCAGATGCTCTCAAAACAACAACATTCAAAAAAACACATCTGAAAAGGTTCAAAGTTTGAAAGGTCATCATCCCATCAGCAGTCCTAGCATTGATACGCACCAGGCATGAGCACTCAGCTCTCGACTCTAGGTTTGGATGATGCTTGATCACAGTCTACATGCCTTACAGGCCTAGCTGGAGGCAGCTTATGCATTTTCAGTAGCTGTCTTGGGCAGCTCTGTAATCTTTCCAATTGCAATGGTTCTCCCATCCACCCGGAGAGTGAAGCGGCCCAGCTGCTGCGAAGACTGAAATGTATCCACAGCTGTTGGTCTTGCAAGCTTGATGCTGCAAACAACAACTGAATCCGGCCTAGCAAACTGTGGATTCTTCTCTTTCTTTTTGGTCTGGATGACCATCGTCTCGTAGAGCTTTAGAATCTCACACTCTTCACTGGCTGTGTGTGCATGCATGACAGCAACATACCCTGAAGTCATGACAGGTCTGTCCGGGCCTAGCTCAATCACATGGATGGTGGCTTTGAACTTGGAGACGACAGGAATTGGGGTTTTGTCGGCACAAAGGACGTAGCCCTTTTTGAGTTCTTCGTCGCTGATGCCTGACATCTTCAAGGTCACATTTTCGCCGCACGTTGCATACTGCATGTCAACGTCGTTGATAAAAACTGAGGTCACCGTGCACTTGTTGTAGGTTGGCATCACGATGCACTTCATGCCGGGTTTTATGGTACCCTGCTCAACCTTTCCGATCGCAGTGACAGCACCCATGTCTTTGTAGCCCTCCATCATTGGAATTCTGACAGGTCCTTCGGCCTTGCGAAGTACTGTGATGCCGTCAAGGGCGTCAAGCAAGGTCGGGCCTTCATACCAGGAAGGAGTGCCCTTCTTCTCTTTGATGTTATCACCCATCAAGCCGGACATTGGTAAGAATATCACTTGTTCATCCTTGTAGCCACTCTTCTTTAAGAAGGCGCCAATCTTTTTGACAATCTCGTTGTACCTTTTCTCGTCCCATTGCACCGTAGGGTCATCCATCTTATTCACTGCGCACACCAGCTTGTCAACTCCTAAGGTCTTGGCAAGAAGTGCGTGTTCGCAAGTCTGTCCCCCTTTCTCGAAGCCAGTCTCAAACTCACCCTTCCGGGCAGATATGAGCAAGACACCAACATCTGCTGCTGATGCTCCGGCAATCATATTCGGCACGTAAGACTTGTGCCCGGGAGCATCAAGAATTGTGAAACGCCTGTTTGGAGTTTCAAAGGCTGCTCGCCCCACCTCGACAGTCTTGCCCTTGACTTTCTCCTCCTCGCTGGTGTCCATGATGAAGGCAAGGAACCAACTTTCACCTGCTTTCCCTGCTGCCTCCTGCTTGTATTTCTCGATTGTGCGGTCGTCCACCATGCCACACAAGAACAAAATGTTGCCGCATGTGGTGGACTTCCCAGCATCTACATGGCCAATGAACACAACATTGAGATGTGGGCGGGGGTCTGGAATCTTCTTCTCTGAATCTTTCCCCGATTCCAGTTTCACCTCATCTTCCTCCTCCTCTACAGCTTCTTCAGGCGGAGGGGCAACTTCAGGCTGCCTTTCTTGCTTCTTAACCGTTGGCAACGGCTCTTCTGTCTCTTTTGGTGCTTCTTTCTCTTTCACCTGTTCTTTTTCTTTTGGCTTTTCTTCAATTTTGGGTTCGTCCTTCTCCGCCTCTGCTTCCCAATCCTCAGGCTCGTCTTGAGCTTGCGGCACTTCTTGGGGTTCCTCTTTTGCCGGCACCGCCTTTGGCTCCGTCTTTGGGGCCTCAGCCTTGGTCTCAGGCTCCGGCAGCTCGCCACGTTCAAAGGCTGCCGCCCGTGCTTTTGCTGCTGCTCTAGCCTCTTCCTGTCAATTCTCCCATGCAGCCATACAGTCAGAAACAATGCAGCAACACCTGGTTGCCTGCAAAGCAACAAGCATCACATCTAGAATCTAGTGTCAACAGAAGCTGGGAGCCGTCTGTCTGTCCTGCTGTTTCAGCTGTTTTTCCTTCCTCTCAGCTGCCTTCCTCTTCTGTTCGGCTTGATATTGATCCAAGGTCATTTCCTTGGCCAGCAACACTGTTGGACGAAACCAACAATTCAATATAAGCACACGCACAGAAAACAACAACCTTGCAGCTGAAGCACATTGGGTTCCGGCTTCTTCTCGGACTTGCCGGACTTGCCACCGCCGCCCTTGCTACTTCGCTCCTGGGAAATCATGCCGTTGTCAGGCATTGCAGGCCACATTAAGATCACTAAGGCGTCTGTTCTCAAAGCGTGCGACCTGTTAACAGGGTAGCAGGTAGAGAGCTCAAGGGGCCGCCCCTGTGCAGCAAAGGCTGCCGCAAAACTGCCATGAGACCAACGGAGCGACAAAAGAGGCGGGGCGTCCAAACCCTCAGTTGGGAGCCTCCAAGCCCTGCTTCACGGCACGGAGTTGAATGCCAAAAGGCAAACCGCTGGGCCAAGAAATGCCCCCATACAATGTGAAAACCTTCCAACTATATAATTTACTTGTCAACTGGCACCGGACACCAAGCAACTACACCATGCTGAAATGAAACTCAAAGGGTCTGAATGTGAGTAAGTGTGTGTGTGTGTGCGTGTGGGCGGTTGGAAGTTACGAAAGCAGCGCACGAAATGAAGATGTGTTACAGTTCTTGATGAGCCAAGTATCGGAAGTTGCGCTTGCTCCAAAACCACCTTTTCCTCCAGAAGACTTGCCACCTGTACAGGGAGGCCACAACACAGAAATGCAGTCCCTACAGCAATGCACGAGCTTTCAACATTATCAAAAAACTAGAACTAAACCCAAGTGGTTTGCAGGCGCCTTGTTGGCCTTCTCCCGAAAAACCCTTGGAGTTGAAGCCCTGGCCGAAGCCCTGGCCCTGCTGGCCTGGGCCAACTCCAGGCTGACCAAAGCCTTGCCTGAGGACATGTATCGAGGAAAACATGCGGTTCTGTCTGCTCTGCATGTAGCGCTTTGGTGCTTACCAAGCTGCTGCTGTGCCATGTAGGCTTGCTGCTGCTGCTGCCACATCTGCTGTTGCTGGTACATCATGTTTGGGTCGTAGCCATACCCTTGCCTTGGCAGCGTTAAAATTTGTAAGCCCTCACCATCTTCAACAACGCACTCAAGCTTACATCCAAGCTGAGCTGGTTGCTGGTAGCCATACCCAAACCCGCCACCATATCCGCCCTGCATTCTAACAATGGAAAGCTAATGCGGCTTTTGCAGCACAGCTCTGCAAAGGAGAGGTTGGGCCAAAACGGCTTCCGTAGCACCGCAAAACCCAGAATCAATTCACAATTGTCAAGCCGAAAGGCGAAAAACATGCGCATCAAAAATCAGGCTGCACTCTCCCATTAACTTTTTTGAGGTGCAACATGCGAAACATTTCGAGCATTGGCAATTAAGCTAAGCGGTCTTCGCCTCCAACGGGTGTGTTCTCGCATGTTAAAACTCCAGCGTGGACCATGCCATGCTGAGTGTGTAAAACGAAGGTAGCTATTGATTGGAAGTCACTGTAAGTGTGTTGCGTTCACTGAAAGCTAGTGTTTGCGAGCCCCGTCCTAGTAAGAAAGGACAGGAAGTCCGCGCGTGAGCTCGCCAGCGCCACAGGCGGGACAATTGCTTGACCTCAGATGTGTCCCGTCCTTTGCCAGCAGCCGAAACCGCAAAAGGTGCGGCAATGAACAGCATGTCAATCCGAATGTGGCATTCCACAATGCCACACGCTTATAATCAGGGTTGGTCAAGGCAACCGAGCAAGCTGCTTTGAAAGTCCAAAATGAGGCCTTCATGACCGAAAAACGGGGTCAAAGAAACTAGACTGATTTCAGCATCGTGTTTTCAGATGGATGGCCACGCACTTGTTTTACTCGAGCCAAACGAGTTAGCGCAAGGTGAGAATGATGAACATGTACAGCCTGGCGCACCCCCCATTGAGCGAAGGTCCACAGGAGTGAAGATACAGTATGTACAGTCAATGCACGAATCAGGGCGAACTGCAACAGCGGCAGCCGGTCCCCCGGCGCGAGCCGAAACCGACCAGATACGCACCCTGAGATGGAGAGGATGCATCAAAGTCAGGACGTGGCTGAGGTGCAATGACGACGGTTTCGCGACATGCTCACAACACCTCGGCTCACGCGTGCAACTGAAGTCAAAAGCGGAAAGGAAGGCCACGCGAACTTCTCCTTGCAAACGGAACGGAATAGCGCATAGGCTGCCTTTCAGAAAGCAAGAGCAACACCTTTACATGGCACATGCCCCAACCAGCGCAATCAAAACAGACATGAGCTGCGACAATAAGTGGCTCTTCGACTCAGTTCAAGGCACACAATGCATTAGCCGCTCGCGCATCTCGAACCTCCAGCCAGTGTGAAAATATTGGCGCGATGCACTTTGGAAACGGTCAGCAGGAGCGGCTGCGAAGGGAACGCAAACTGGCAAGACAAAAGCTTTGTCGCCTGGTGGAACTTCTGTGTAACATTGTTGGGCTTTGAGATTTGGCGCCCGCGCGATCCCCACCAGTCAGTCACGATCCTGGCGATCCTCACGCTCCCAACCGGACTTGGAACGACCTATGAGCTCCGTGAGGACTGCCATCGATCGCGCTGGACACACTTGCGGGTTTGAGCAAGACTGGGTCTTAGCTTTTGGATGCTCAGGGTTCTCGATACACTAACAGGTCCATATCTGGCACAGCGGCCATGTCCCCGGCCATGAAGAGTCCAAGAGCGACTTTTGCAGAGATCAGCTGCGGTTTTGAGGAACAACCCGCAGTTACAGCAGGACACGCGAGGTCTGTCATGGACAAGCAAATGGTCGATTGGGTTGCCACTTCGCCGAACATCTAAGTTCGGATTGTCGGACCGTGGTGTTCTTGATCTCCGTTGGCATGCATGAGTGGACAAGAGCAGAAGCAAACAATAATATACTTCTCTCATCTTATACCTTGAGTCTTCCTTGTCGTGGCCTGTCTGCTTCTCGACTTGCTCTGCTTCATTTGTGTGGTATGACCGACTCCTCATCCCAACGTCTGCGCAATTGAGCTCGCTGCTGGGCGGCTGCCACGGTCAAGACTGGATCCATGGAGGCGACGCGTGCGGCCTATGCCCCATACGTTGAACCATTCAGGCGGATCTGGCCTTCCTATCGCGCCTCCCTCAAGTCATCTTGTTCCAAAGATGTCGCGCGAGCAACCCCCTGAACAGCCCAAGACCTGCAGATCCCCTTTTCCTCCTGGCGCCGATCTTCACTCCAAAGCGCCCGCCGGAAAGGTACATAATGTCTTCCTTCCGCGCGTGACCGCTGTTTCCGCTGTGCCGACTGTCAAGACAAACAAAGGCATGCTCTTCAGCCGGGCCAATTTTCACATCCAAGGTCGCGGCGACAAAATCTTGTAGGCGTCGATCATCATGTGGATTGGCATCTTTATGGGGTCACCACCATCTACGTTGGTGCGAATGCGACTCGCATAATGCGACTGGCTGACCAACTCAATGCGACTGAATTGTTGGAGAGCAAAAGCAAAAGTTCAGGCACCGGTTCCCAGTATCTTTGAATGGGAGAAAGTAAGAAACTTGAATGGCGTCGGTCGCCCCAATCTTTTGAAATTCACATCGCGCCAGGGTCGGGTCGTCCACATTAATCCTTCCCCGTCGCCAAACTCCGCCGAGAGTTGTAGTTAGCTTTGATGCTTCCTGGGATCTGTCAGCCTCATGGTCGTGGGATTCTGCACCATCTCACAACCCTTGCTGTAGACTTCCGCGTTGGTGTGGAAGACAAACTCCTTGGCTTCCCTTGACGATCTTCAAGAGGTACCTGCTGCCGCTCTTCTCCTTCTCCTCCTCCTCCTTCTTCTCAAACCATGGTGCATCCTGAACTTCGACCGTCTCATCTTCCGAATAGATGGCGCGCACGCCCGTTCTAGATGGCACGCACGCCCGTTCTGTCAGGAACGTATAATAGGTTCATCTCTCGAAGGCCTCCACTCCGACCATGCCGCGCAATACGTCCATGCCTCCATTGACACTTCCATTCGGCGTCAAGGCAAACCGTTTTGACTGCTGCACCCTGACTGGTCGAGAGCTGAGGCCGGTGGACGACTGTGTTGCCACACTTCGACCTGGCTTTAAACCTGGAGCCCGTCACACGCCCGATCAACTTCAGAGGCCCTGCAAGTAGAATGTCGAGAGGATATAAACACAATCTCACCGCTCTGCGTTTGGCCTTGCCTGTCATGTCTTTGAGGTGGCAGGTAGCACCAAAATCCTTCTCCACCACATCCCCATCGTTGGCCATAAAGGGGTGTATGTGGAGACGGCCGGGGGCCCGGACCAAAGACCAGCTGAGAAAACCTACACCTGCCGAAGCCGTAAGAATCCGGCCAGAGAATGTCTTCTTCGGCTCTGCCCGGGTCGCTTTCCTGCCGGCCCCGCGGGGCCTCCAAACACTTTGTCTACTTCACTCCAGCACGGCTGCCACCAACAGACGGGTTGTCCGGTCTTTGACCACACGACGAGAGACCAACGATTTCCAAAGTTCTAACTGCACACCAGCTCACAAATTCTCTCGTCTTGGGCCTCGGTTCTTCGTAGAGCCCCGCCAACAAAAAAAGCTCCAGAGGCCAAAGTCCGTGTCCTCGATCGTGTCGTGGTGGGCGACCCGGCGCTCGTAGCGCCACATGCGTAGCTGGAGCGAGCTCTTACGACACGCTCCGCCCCGCCCGTGCAAGGCGCAAACGCCTATTTTGTCCTGCGAAATGGAGCCCCGCGGTCGAAACCATGCCTGAGTGACTTGAATCACCTGTCCTGCAATGTTCGACATGATTCTCGCTTGAATTTGGATCTGTCTCCCCCTTGAATTGGTCCCTGGTACTGCGTCCGTTGAAACTCAATAAAGCAGGGTCTGACTTCATGAACTTGTGG